GACAATTATTCTAGGAACTTTGGAATTTATCGGAAGCCTGATATGACTAGTAAATATATAACATCTAGATTTATTTGCAAGGTCCCATAAATACAAAAGGTTAAAACATATAAATATACAAATTATACAAACACACAGACACAAAACATGTGCCATAGAAATGTAAAATATAGAGAACTATATTGCTGAGTCATGTGCTAGAAGTAAAATGATTTAGGTTTAATAGCAAAACTGAGAAGGATTATGAAGAAGAATGACTACTGGATTCTTCAAGTAGCTCCATCTAGCTTAAGATAAAATGTTTAACTTACACCAAATTTCTACATTTTTATTAGAGTTTATTTCATCACATAGAACTAGGCATGTATAAAAATGCTAATGATGGAGGGACTTTTAGAGTGTGATACTGTTAGACAGTAGGTGTCAAGAGAGATGTGGAGACAAAGGAATGGATGACAGAGATGATGGAAGGAAGATACGAATTTGAACTCACATCCCAGGTTGTAAGGTAATGATGGTAAGGACCACGGAAAGGTTCATAAAGCTAATGTGACTTTAACTTAGGTTAGCTTCCTCAGTTTTCAAATTAAACCTCCCACAGGTCCCCATTATTTGCTTTACTTCTGACAAAGAATCTCCACAAGCACAGATGATTACATATTTTCTAAAAAAAACTATATTGAAACATGCAGAATAAGCAGCATCAATGTCTTTACATGACATCTTGGAGCTTTGAGTAGCTTGTGCAATTTGTCATTAACCATCAAATATTTAGAAGGATCTAGAACTGTCTAGGTGCATTATCCAAACATATGATATCGACAGACTTTAATGTTTTGTAGAATAAAGAAAAATGCTGCATTAATACACTAACCTAGGTTTCTTAGTTTAGAAAGTAGGTATTGAGTGCCTTTTATATGCCATCTTATGTGCTGGACTGTGAAGGTAAGGCTCTATGCTCACTTAGTTCATATCTTAAAAACTTAATCTGTAGTCCATAAGTATTTTAGCAGTAGATATGGAGGGAAGTATTTGGAGGATACTTAGGACATACAGGAAGCAAATGATTGACTTTTCCTTTCCAGTGCCTGAAGGTACTTTCATAGAGCCTGTTCTATGGTAGACATTCAATAAACGTTGATAAAACACAAGGGAGTAAGAGGAGAACAAATTGTGGTAATTACAAAGATACCCACGGTGGTGGAGGAAACTGATAAAGATTCTTTTGGGAGATTCAGTAAAATTCATTTCAACCATTATTGAAAAAAATCTTGAATGTTCCCACAGGACTTAGGCTAGTTCTGTCTAGTAAACCCAGCTGGAAACTAAAGTGAGCCCTCGTGGTTCCTAAGGAGACTTCAAGCTAGTTCCATTAAAACTACACAGCCAGAGAGTTTGTCCAGTTGCTGCTAGAAAGATCTTGTGGAATCTTTTTAGTATAAACTTGTTTCTCTGGTCTTCCCATAAGACCTGTACACTCATTTTTTATGCTGTTGTTTTGGAAGATCATGATTTGGCTAATCTGCCATACTATCCCTTTTGGTGACATCTGGAAGCTAAAGTTCAATTTAGTTTAGTACTCAGTTGTAGCAATGGATACCTATTAGATTCCAGATATTGCTATATTTTTCCGCTTGGCAATAATTCTAGAATATATGTAATTAACTGCATACTATCAGGCTCTGTGTGAGAAATACTTAATTCGTAGAAGAGTCTCTATTGATTTGAGACAATACATTTTACATGACTTAGGAAAGTCACTGCCTCATGAAGTTTTCAAAACATCTACTATATACCAGGATTGTTATTTAGAACACTAGGCAGATAAAAATGGGAAGCAAGGTTTCTTTGTTATTTTAAGGGGTGAATTTAATGCTTATCTGTTGGTAATAAATGATACCAATATAACAATGATTTCAAAAATTATTTATCATAGCTGCTCAGGAAGATATATCATTTTCACTGCTGGTTCCCTGAAATTCTTGTGGTAACTGTAGGTTCATAAGAAACTGATTATAAACATACATAGCTAACAATGTAGAAAATCTATGTGAGAAAAAACTCTGACCCAAGAGTTTAGAAATTCTTTAGAAGCTATGTTTTTGTCCACTGCCATGTATTTACTTAGTTTCCTTAGGGATCTCATCTATTAACACATGTTTGTGAAATGTGAATAGTAACTCTATCTATATAGCATGTTTGGAGAGTGCCTACCAAATGCCAGGTCCTATGTGAGCTAAAATGACAGCAAGATATTTCCGAGTTTCTGCACAGAAGGACTCTCTTTGAGGTCCCTCTGTCAATCAGTAATGTAAATATATTACCTAAGTTCACAGTTTAGGAAACTCACGTTCCAATTTTTCAATTGAGTAACCACCGTGACCAATCTCTGGGCAGAACCATGAGGAAATAACTGGTATTTAGCTTTGAGTTTCTTTGTTGAGATCATACCTTCACAATAGAAGGATTATACCAGGAAGTTAGAGATAAATTGACAACTCTTAGCATAAACACATTCTTTTCAGAATGGAGCAAATTATCTGTGATGGGATGCATGACAAGGGTTTCATGGAAATCAGAAAAGAGGATTTAAGGTGTGGATTTGACATTTTCTGACAGTTTCTTGTCTTCACTGTTGGCCCCAGTATTCTATCAACAGCATTTTCTTGACACCTTTATTGTACATAGGCTTGAGTTTGGCACAGAAGATGGAAAAAGTCAAAGAAAATGTAGATAGTTCCAGACAGAACTCGAGATGACAGCACTCACAAAGATTGTATATAATCTTTATATGTTAACTAGAGGAAATGCAAAGGACAAAATTCTAGGTCCTGGACAAAGGCAGTGCTAACCAGAGAAAGGGGTAAGCTGTAGAGTTGGGGTTTAAAGGAAGGGGAAGAATAAATAAATTAACAGAGAGTGGTTGAGATGAGTTCTATTCATTATGGAAACAAAGCACAGCATTGGAAGAGAAAAAAAGGATAGGGTGGTTGAAATTTGGAAAAGTCCCTAGTTAGGTAATACTAACGTAAAATAAACCTATAAATGGAGAGGGAAGCATTCTCCCCTTGGCAAAGGCTGTCCTGTGCCTTGAAATAAGTGAACGGCAGTGGCATACCTCAGACCTCAAGACTGTGGGTTTCAGAAAGTCTGTTTTGCCGTATAAGGGCAAAAAATATCATATTTTCACAGATTTCAACCTTTTTCCCAAGATATGCCTCAAGTACATTGAATTCCATCAATAATACTTTTTAGGAAGAAGTATTAAAATTTACAGTCTTAGAAATCATTTTCTTGAAGAAAATTGTTATTAAGTTTATATTAGATTTCAAGTTGCCTTAATTCAGGGTAAATCGACATCCACCCAACAGTCTACTAAATTCAACAGACAGGTGAAGATACGCTAAAGTTTTTTCAATTCAGTACAGGCTTTAATCTAGTCCTGACAATATGATGGTGATAAAGAGACTGGTAAAAATAGTATGCATGTTTACTTTGTAAACTTTAAATGGGAAAATTACCAAAATACAAAAACGTGAAAGTAAAGACAATGGGGCCAGAAAGATGATTCTGTTGATAAAGTGCTTGCTGTACAATCATGGGGACCTAAGTCCAGATTCCCAACACTAAGTAAAAATCAGAGTATAGTAACCCATGTTCTCAATCCCTGAGTTAGGAGGTGGAAACAAGACGGTCACCCAGGCTTGCTCAACTGATCAAGCTAGCCAGACAGCTGGACTCCAGGTTCAATAATGACATCTCAAAAATAATCCACAAAAACAAATTTTCCTTTAAAATTCTGTAATGAGAATTGATGGTATTCATGCCAACTAAAAATTAAATTAAATACATAGTGGCGAGCATAGAAGACATCTGCCATTGACTTTTGTCCTCTGCAGTGGTATGCATGGATCTACATAGCACCTACCACACTGCACAGATACACACAGTGAAATAAGAAATAAAAATGAAAATAAGGCCCTAACAAAAATTGGGAGATGGGGTGGGGGTGGGGTGGAAGTAAGGGGAGATGGGGAAAGAGAAGTGATTAGGGAAGGATGGGGAGAGCTTGGGGAAATAGGATGCTTGGGATGGAGGAAGGATGGATATGGGAGCAGGGAAGTATATATATTAATTAAGGGAGCCATTTTAGGGTTGGCAAGAGACGTGACTCTAGAGGGGATCCCAGGTGTCCAAGGAGATGACCCCAGCTTTTTCCTTAAGCAGCTGAGGAGAGGGTGCCTCAACTGGCCCTATCCTATAGCTACACTGATGAATATCTTGTATATCACCATAGAACCTTCATCTGGCGATGGATGGAGATAGAAACAGAGACCCACAATGGAGCACTGGACTGAGCTCCCAAGGTCCAAATGAGGAGCTGAAAGAGGGAGAACATGAGCAAGGAAGTCAGTACCCTGAGGGGTGCGCCCACCCACTGAGATAATAGGGCTGATCTAATGGGAGCTCACCAAGGCCAGCTGAACTGGGTCTGATGGAGCATGTGATCAAACTGGACTCTCTGAACATGGCTGACAAGGAGGGCTGACTGAGAAGCCAAGGACAATGGCACTGGGTTTTGATTCTACTGCATATACTGGCTATGTGGGAGCCTAATCTGTTTGGATGCTCACCTTCCTAGACCTGGATGGAGGGGGGAGAACCTTGGACTTCCCACAGGGCAGGGACCCTGACTGCTCTTTGGACTGGAGAGGGAGGAGAAGGGGAGTGAGGGGAGGGGGAAGGATATGGGAGGTGGGGAGGAAGTGGAAATTTTTAATGAAAAAAAAAGAAAAAGAACCAAAATATAAAAAATAAATAAATAAATATCTTGAAGACAAAAAAAAATAAGGCCCTAAGAAGCAGGCAACTAAAGTGTGGTAAATAATGAGAAAAAGGACCACTATTCTCAATAATAGGGTAGTACTATTTAGACTGTGTCATAATAGAAAGACAGTTTGAGAGGAGGTGCTATTATATCTAAGATTTAAAAGATGAACCATGCATCTGTCTAATGGGGCTGAAACATGATAACTTAAATAAAAAATGAATGCCATAATCACAGGTGGAGCATGGGAAAGACAAGAGACATTTAAGGAACAATAAGATAATAGTAGAGAAAATAGAAATTGAAGAAAGGCTTAGGGCTAATCTAGGCCTGGCGACCACAATGGGATGATCATCACAGCCAGTCAGAAGACACTGTGCAAGTACATTATGGTGCTAGATAGGTGTTGTAGAAGGAAGGGAACCCAACGGGTTTCTCTGGTTGGTGGTGGAGACACAGACATACAAGAATCAGGGGTGGCTCCCAAGCTTGCTGTCTGAGAAATAGAGAATGATGCCATCTCCTTCTGACAGGAGACAATGAGAAGTGCCAAATGCCAGAACTAGAGCCCAGTATTCAACTTTTTGCAGTTTGAACTACTGGTGAATGATGTAGTTGGAGAAAAGAACAAGACAAGTTGGAAACAGCGAGCAACTATCTTTGTTTGAAGAATGTTGACAGGGATCTCAATAAGCTGAACAAAGTCGTGCCATAGTCTTCTAACTGAGCCTCAACCTTTGCTGGGACTTTGTTGGTGAGTTTGATATTCAGGGTCTCAGGGGACTTTTTTCTACCACTGCCTCTAATTATTTCACTCTCTAACTCTGCATAGTCTTTTATTCATTTCTACAATTTCAGAATATTTTTTCTTCATTTAAGATAAATGTCAATCTAAACATGTTATGGGATAGAAACAATTGGAAAAAGCATTTTCCTTAATTCAGATACATTAATTATTGACTTACTGCCCAAGGCTGCTGTATTTGGGATGATTCTAGGAAGTAAAATTAAATACTGATAATCTCTCTCTCTCTCTCTCTCTCTCTCTCTCTCTCTTTCTCCTATATGCATATTTGCATGTATGTACATGCTTTCTTCTAGCAGACAAATTCAGAGTTCTAAGTAGCTAGGGAAGTGATGAAGAGAGGACCAGATAATGAGTTGCTAGGTGAGAATACTGAACATTCCAACATTGTCAAGGTGATAGGGAGGCTCTTGGTAGTTACAGAAACAGACTGTGCCAGGAAGACACAGACCTCCAAACCTTACTATCTGAGGTTCCTACAACACACAAGACTAGCTGCTCACACCAGATGGAGTAATCAATATGAGAGACAGAATAGTCTTTCTTGCTGTAGAAAATCCCTTTGTACACTGTGAAGATTTGTTGCTGTGACTGGTTTAACAAACCAGTTAACTGGCCAATGGCTCAAAAGGATGAAGTTAGGCAGGAAAGTCAAACTGAGAATGATGGGATAAAGAAGAGTCGAGTCAGAGGAATCTCCAGCCAGACCTAGAATGAGTCACAGATACAAAATGGGATGGAGATAAAGACCATCATGTTCAGAGAAATACATAAATTAATAGGAATGGATTAAATTATAAGAGCTACTTAGTAATAAGTCTGAGCTATTGGCCAAGCATTTGTAATTCATGCTCAATCTCTAAATCAGTTGTTTGGGGGTCGGGCAGATTAGACAGGAAATGTAAAATTACACTTTCTCCAAGAATGTGTGTGATCAAAGAAACACACATCCACAGTAGAGTAAATTCTAACATTGGAAGCTGCCATTCTCAGAAAGGGCATCAGCTGCTTTCAGAATGTAAATGGTGGGAAAAGAAGCTCTAAGTGTTACTTCAAAGGTCCGTGATGTTGCAGGGCAATTGGTAATGAAAAATCCCCAGACTATCTTAATACAAAATATATAGCTTTAATAAACAGAAATGAGATTTACAACAGCTTACACCAGAATTCAAACGATTCGTCCAGGCGCAGGAGCCAGGCGAAAAAGAGAGCTAGTGGAGTGCACTTGCTATGTTTATAGGCAGGCTTTAGCTTGATGGTGGCACACCCCCAAAACAGAATGTGATTGGCTGAACTCCCCTATCAGGTCCATGGATGAAGGTGCACTTAAATAAAGAATTAAACAGTTCACACTTAGGAAAACTCAAAAATAAAGAAAGAACTAAACCTCCAGTAAGGTTGAACAAGTAGAAAAAAATTCCAGACGAAAGACAAGATCAAAATCCCAAAGATTAAGCTACAGGAAACTCAGTATGTGGAGAGATTGCAATCCAAAGTGGGAGATCAGTCCAGAAAATAATGTCCTCCTGGGGCAAAATGTATAGGTTTCTTTTACATTGTTTAACCATTTGGTTGTACACATAGTGTTAGAGAAACAATTTCTGATTAAATGCATCCTATTATTATATCTCATTTCCTTATTGAGATGCTGGATTTTTTGGTCCATAAATGTTAAATTGTAGAAGCAGATATTTTCTACTGATTTTTCAGCAAACAAACACTATCTTCAATGCATCATCCAGTCAATCTTGGTTTCTCCAATTGGAATGAGGAACTGTAAAGCTCTGGGATCAGAAGAAAATCAGATAAAAAATAACTAACTTGGTAGTGAGAAGGAAGCCCATCCCTATGAACAAAAAGAGAAAAACTGAGTTCTAGGGACATTTGTTTTCAGTCAACAGATTAAGCCTCATTTGAGAACTGTGCTCTTTCTGGACATTTGAATTACATGAGCCAGCTAAACTCCCTTATTTTATAAGCCAATTTTAATCAGATTTGCTATTCCTTGCCATTTAAAGCATTTTAAGACATAATCCTTGAAAGGCACTCAGAGATTTTGGTTGGAAATAAAGGATTTATTAATATTTGTAGCCCCCAGAGTGTCATACTCTGGGAAGTAATTTAGATTATGGTAGCAGGCAATGTAGTACAACCCTAAATCAGGGGAGCCCAAAGCAGAGACCACTAGAGTCAGCTTTTTCATCTGAGATCAGCCTAAGTCCAAGTTCATTCACTGCTTAGCCATTGACTCCTGCCACTTTCTCCCAGCAGAGAGAAGGAAGTAATTCACTTAAGTCTCTCCTTAGGATGATCTACCTCACTGAACCTGGGAGGCTGACATTGTGCTTCTCTCTCCCACTGAAACCATAAATGTATTCATTTTACTTTAGTTATTTAATATAAACCAGATAAGCTACAAATACATAATAACTCTAGACCATTTCAATTCAATGTGAAGTTGAATTTGGGGGGAGGCAATGTTTCAAGTTTAGGGTACTATGATTTGCATGATAGGGATACTTGGGGAATTGCTTTCTCAAACATTCTTTTCTGTGCTTACATTATGGCATACAGTCTACAAGTTTATTATTAACAATCCTCCTGAACCCTGTCAGAAAGTTCCAATAAATCACATTCAAGAATATATATTTAACTTCCATATATATATATATATGTATATATATATATACATATATATATACATATATATATATATATATATATATATGAAATTCAAGAACTTGAGCAAGTGGCATGAATTCCAAACTGTCAGCTTACAACAGTAACTTCACTTGTCAATGCAGGGATGGCAATTTGTGGCGAAAGGCTTTAATGGAAAGAACATGTTATTGAGAAACCAGAGGGTCAGCCTGATTCCTAGAATGCTTCACAAAGAATGATACCTTGTTTTGGAATTTTGAAATACCTGGTTTATGGTCCCAGGTGATCGTATAATTAGAATATTCCCAGACAACATGCCTCCATCTGCCATTCTTCAAAGTGGGTTTACTCCTCCTATCTTTATGGTACAGTATAAAAAGAAATATTACTGATAAAGTATATGATGTTTGGAATTTCTTCTGTTCTACCATATGTCATATGCTATTTCACAGGCATGGCTAATTATCATTTATTTAGCTCTTCATGTGTAGCCACTAAATAGTGGTGTGTATTAATATTTAACACACTCAGTGCTTATGCCGCTAGAAACACAGGACTAGTATGCTGACTATTCTGTAAGAGTATTTTTATATCCATAAATGTAAAAGTGTTTACCTAAACTCATGTGAGTGAGATAGGGTTGAACATAATCTGTGCCATATTTACTTTTCTGTTATTGAATAACACAAAAAACCGGTCCCATCAAAACCATTTTCAAATGGGAAATATGGTTTACATCCTATATCATTTCCTATTGCTATTGCAGAAGATGTAAGACTAGGCAATTATAAAGAGGAGAAATTTATTTTCTCGCTAAAAGTCTAGTGTCAAGTTCTGGTATGGACATCTCACTCTCCTTTAACATTAAACATGCTGGAAAGACACAAGAGGGGTAAATTAAACACTCTTCACTGGAGAAAAAGGGGAGAAAGTGAATTTACTCCTATTATGGTGACATGGGTTTGTAGGTGACTAAACATCTCCTACTTAGGTTCCATCACCCCAGACCAACATAGCAGGGTGCTTTCAAATTGAGTTTTGGAACAATGAAGCATTTAGATGGTAGTGTTTTCAGAGTGTATGTCTTTCTTAGGGTCACTCAGCTCAACTCTCTAGAAAAAAAACATAAATTCAAAACTTCACTCAATATTTTAAATATTCATGATAAGCCATGCTATTTTCCTCACTCTCTTGCTGTCTCTAGTGTGCTAGGGAGGACTGACACAAAGGAGGTGAACTGTCAATGATCCGGATTAAAAGCAATTTCCTAATATTACTTTCAGGGGAGGCACAGCTTCATGTAAACAAGCTATGCTAACATAATTATATGTAAATTCAAAAAATATAATGGATAATTTCATTTGAAGTTTATTATGTTTTAAAATATTTTATAATACTCATGACTAAATTAATTCTTAAAAATCCATTAACTTGTTACGATGTTCCCCTCACAGAGATCATCTTTTGTTTTTATTGAGTCCAAATTTAAGTTTAGTTAGGACTTTGAGTTCTAAATTCACACCATCTGGATTTCATGGATTTCAAAGTCTTGTGTATTCTGTTGGATTTTGTCATTATACTTGGTACTGTCTCCTAAAACTGTTGTCTAAGATGAGAAATGTATTTATATTTCTAGATAGAATGTTAGAATGTCTAGAGTTTTATCTGCAGTTGTTACCTCATGTTCCTTCCTAGGTTATCTAAAAGGAAAGATGATATCTGATGACATCGTGATTTAATTTCACAGCACAATAAAACTTCTTAGTCATGTGAAATCACCATTAGCACCAAGTATGAACTTATCAGGTCATAATGTGACAAATTGAAGCAGTGAAAGGGCACAGACATCAGCAAGAGAAGGCATGAACCAGCTTAGCGTCAGGCACTCATATTAATTAACATAAATTTTGTGATTCTGAGTTTATAAAGAGTTTTTACACACCTCGTCTTACTAGCTCATGTTAAGCTACACTGTGAGGTAATTCGTTTTTAATATTCAAAATGTCAGGGCTAAAGACATGCCAGAACTTCTAGGGGTACAAAATGAGTAAATCAGAAGACTGTGGCTCTGAACACAGTGCGGAATGTAGAAGACAAGAAAAGCTCGTTAGACCGATAGGCAGGCAAGGATATGAGCAGTACAGAGATCGTTAAAACCCCATGAGTTTTCATTCTGATCATGGAATCTACTGGACCCCAGTCAATGGCTTGGGATTTCCTTCCTTTCTTCCTTCCTTCCTTCCTTCCTTCCTTCCTTCCTTCCTTCCTTCCTTCCTTCCTTCCTTCTT